CCCCCCCCCCCCCCCAAAAGAAAACAATAAAAGACTTTCAATGTGATCTCAGACATTGTATGTTTTACCATAGTAATGAAAATGAACAGATGTTATGGTTATTATGATGTTGTGTAAAGGGCTGAAAAAACAGTTAATTTAACTGACTCCTCATTTGTTTGACAGATAGTTGTGTTAGCCAGAGTAATAGTAGATCAGATGAAGTGACTTCGACTGCAAGGGGAGTCACTGTTCTAACTGTATTATTGCAGTCTGACCAATCCACCACTGTGGTCATCACAGGTATGTTTAAATTGTAATAATATTTTATTTTCACAAATTACTGTTTTGTATTTATCATATTTGCATGTATTTATCAAATAAATGCAGTCTTGGTGAGCACAAGAAACTTCTTTCAAAACCATTAACAAATTGTATCAACTCCAAATATGTATATGAGAAAATCATCTTGTATAATGTTCCATCTTGTGTTATTCCAGCACAACTATTTGCTAGCCTGGTTCATACGAGAGCAGGTATTACTAATGCGATTGTCACCATGGGCGCTGTAGAGCATCTTTCTGCTCATCTGGACTCGAGAGGATGAAGAGGTAGATTGTGTTGAATTAGCTTATGTAAATTCAGTGTTTCTCAGTCAAAAAAATAAGCGCTTAAAATAGTATTTCTAGGATTTTAAAAACTAAAATAACATACTTTATTCCCTTCTACATTTTAGGTTCAAACAGCCTGTGCAAGTGCTCTGGGTTACCTGACCTCCAATCGATATGCTTATTGACAACTTCTGGTGAAATATAGAAAATACCCTCACATATTTGACCTCCTAATGGAGAATTTAGCTGAAGAATAAGATGCCAGAATATCACAATTGTTTACAGCAGAGTTTGAAAGACAGAGAAGAATAGGGTTTCCATCCCTCAGGTGCTTTAAATTTTGACAGGAAGTAGCTAAATATGAGGCCTTTGATAATTCACATGCATAATTTGTTTACTTTCTGTTTTCTCCATTGCAGTTTGGAGATAAATGGCGGCCCTCCTGTGCCTCATCGTGATAATAAAGTTATTTCAATTGAATTATGTATGACATATTGTGATGCTGGCTAGAGCAATGAGGACTATATCTCACATACAGATGTTTGCGCTATATCATTTCTCACCAGGACTGGCAAAGAGAATGAACGCTAGGTGTAGTCAGTCTGTAATTGGGGACAGAGAAACACCAGCTCTTTTGCCACACCATGCAAGACAGAGGGCCAGAACTGCCAAACTCAGAGTCAGAATGGGACAGACGTCCTGCCACAATGCCCCAAAACAGAGATTAAATGAAAACACCTGAAAGGTCAAGAACTCCAGCACTGCCATTCACACCAAAAGGTGATTGAAAATTAATAACATCATAAACTTTTAATTAAAGCATATGCAAAACAGAACCATTTAAATTTCTTAAAATAAATAATCATTTATTAATATGTAGGAAATTTTCTTTCGACACAATGTCAAGAATTTATCCTCAGTTTTAATGCGAGGAATTTTGATTGCAGCATCTTTAACTTCTGAAGTGACTTTAACTTCTAATCCAAGTGGTGCCCTAAAAATAAATGAAAAATATAATTACATTAAAACAGATTCTTAACATATACAATCAGTGCTGGGTAGATTACTTACAAACTGTTACTGATTCCAAATTACATGATGAAAATTAGTAATGCAATCTATTAGATTTTACACATTTTAGGTAATCTAATCGGATTACTTTTGACTTTACTTGTTTATCACATAGATTTGAATAGATTTATTTTGTACCACATTGATATAAAAATACAAAGAGAATTCCCCCCCCCCATTCTTTTGCATTAAACATCACATTACATCAGGGTTTCCCAAACTGGGGTTTGTGAGTTGATGAAAAGCCAATACTTAATTAAATCAATGTAACAGCACCAGGTATGCAAAACAGAAGAGAAAAAAAATAAATAAAAACACACACACACACACACACACAAGATTCACTGCAAATAGCAACACAGCAATAGTGACACACGAAAATGGCCACCCCGAGTGAAATCATATCCGTGGTGCTGTCAAAACCCAACCCGCTCCCGGAAGCACTCCACTCCTATAAACAAAAGAAAACATCACATTAAAAATAAACCACAAATTGAAGGTCCATATTCACAACAAAAGAAAACAATCAACTTTTGAAAGAGGGTAAAAATGTAAAAAAAAAAAAAAAAAAAAGATTACAAAGACAAAACTTTTTTTTTTAACTTAAATTGTGCACAATAAGAGGAGAAACCTGCATTGAAAATGTAAGTCCAATTTATTTACTAACAGAGCAAATGCCATTTTAACTTACTTGGGTTCATAGGTGACCTCTTCGCAATGGGACATGATCCCCTTTCCTTGCTTTAGTCTCTCTATGCCATTCCTAACAATAGTGAGGAACAAAAGTCAGTGTCTTATGCATGTCATCAAGGCTGTTTTATGTTCTTACCATGCAATCATGACTCCATTATCAGTGCAAAACTTTGACGGAGGGCAAAGCAGATGCAATCCAGTGGCATCTGTGACAATTTTCAGAGTCTGTCTGATGTATTCATTACTTGCTACTCCCCCTGAAACAACCTACAGAGGTGCACAAGTGGAAGAGTAGAAGTTTTGGTTGGGATAGAAAGGTTGGAGTAGAATTTTTTTTTACCAAATGTCAATTCACCACAGGCATTTCTTGGTAGAAGTTTTTAAATATTGTGAAATGATTAAGCCAAGCTCAAATTAATGTTTATACGAAATGCCTCAACCGAGTCCTGGAGTGCTGTGAATTTACCAGAGTTGGTTTATGCTGTGGTAGAAGACCTTTGGATTTACAGAACAAAATGGCACGATGTGTTCGTTTGGCTATATGAGAAGCCATAGTGTGTTGTGAGGCAGCGGCGATGTCTTTAACGCATGATAATAACTGACCTTTTTCAACACCTGAGGAAACATAACATTACAGTAATATAATACTGGTTAGGATTATATAAATACGAATTTTATTCTAATACATTGCAATTAGAATAAACATGTACAGCACATACAAATAACCATTTTTTAAATTTGAGCTTAACCATTTTACTATTATAGCTCAAGAAGAAAAAAAGGAAAAAAAGGAAAAAAAAAATTAATATTAAAAAAATTAAACATTATAAAAGCAATTAACAAAATAACTAAAACTGAATAAAAACTAAAAGCGAATTTAAAATATTGATACTATAATATTATACTATACTATAATATTAGTTAATAAACAATACTAAAATAACCCTACTTGAAGTATAGTGCACAAGTTACATGGACCATTTTTATGATGATTTTCTCTTTTTTAATCAGAATCAGAATGAGCTTTATTGCCAGGTATGTTTTCACATACGAGGAATTTGTTTTCATGACAGAAGCTTCCACAGTGCAACAAGACCTTGGAATATGGTGATGGTGAATATTTAACCACTGAATGGCCTTTTTTAGATAAATGTTTCTTTAGCATACTGAAAACATGTTATTAGTGTTAATCTATGTATCAACTGAGGTTATTTATGAAGTCAGTGGCTATCCTTACTCCAGGTGTGTCTATTTCTGAGAATGCCCCAGATTCCCCCAGAATCCCTCCAGTCTCGTCTAGCACAGCCGCTCCGGTCTCATCGCAGCTCGTCTCGATCCCCAAAACTAACCTATAGGTACGGTGGCCGAGAGGTGCAGAACAAATCACAATTCTGAAAACAAAATAACAAATTACAAGCGCAAATGCAAGTCTACAAAACAAAATAACAATTCAGAAAGCACAACAACAATTCAGAAAACATTATAACAAGTCAGAAAACACAATGACAAATCCGAAAACAAATTAACAAGTCAGAAAACACAACGACAATTCAGACAAACCGGAAGAGGTAGGTATAGTTTGAGACAGCGCCATTGGTTTGGGATTACTCACCGCTGACTGGACGAGACATCTGTCAATCAACGTATACAGGAAGAACCAGCCGAAGAACAGCAGAGTCCTGGTAGAAAGTTCGGAGATGGTATTAAAGTAGCTCAGTTTAAATGTATTGTATGAATTGCCTTTACTATGGAATAAAAAATACGGGGTGTCTAGTAATTGTCTAACTATTGTCTAGTTAAAAGTGGCTGTAACACATCAGCTCCAGTGGTGCAGATGGTTAAGCGTGTACCCTTGGCTTTTTGACTAGATCGATCAGGGGTTTGATCCCACCTTTTGCCGAACTTTTCAAATCTTGTATCACATCGTAAAGGCATTTATTTTCAATAAAAATTAACAAATGCAAGTCTAAAAAACAAAATAGCAATTCAGAAAACACAACAACAATTCAGAAAACATTATAACAAGTCAGAAAACACAATTACAGCCAACGACACACGCTTATCCATCTACGCCACTGGAGCTGATGTTTAACAGCCACTTTTAACTAAATGTAAATATACACTCCGTATTTTTAACTCCATAGTAAGGGCAATTCATACAATACATTTAAACTGAGCTACTTTAATACCATCTCCGAACTTTCTACCACGACTCTGCTGTTCTTCGGCTGGTTCTTCCTGTATACGTTGATTGACAGATGTCTCGTCCAGTCAGCGGTGAGTAATCCCAAACCAATGGCACTGTCTCAAACTATACCTACCTCTTCCGGTTTGTCTGATTTTTCGTTGTTTTCTGACTTGTTAATTTGTTTTAGGATTTGTCATTGTGTTTTCTGACTTGTTAATTTGTTTTCGGATTTGTCATTGTGTTTTCTGACTTGTTATAATGTTTTCTTTATTTTGTGATTATTTCAGAATTGTGATTTGTTTAGCACTTCTCGGCCACCGTATATAGGGCGCACTGTACTGAAGACTTCCTGACGTGCAGCGCTTCACCTAGCACCGTGCTGCTCCATTCAACACTGACGGTTCACTGTCGTTAACACTGGTTGATTTAACTCGACAGTAATCTGAAAGGTTACACATGCTTCAGCAATTCAAGTGACTCGAAAACACCGCTAAACTTGTCTTTTCTTGTAAAACTTCATTCATGACCCTGTCCGATCAAGGCGTTACATATAAATAAGCTCTACTCACAACAAACGAAGCTGGGTTCCGTTAGACTTCCTTTAAGATGAAAATTATAAATAGTAGTAAAGAAAAACAGATGCCTAGGCCAATTTGATAAATAAATACACTAATAACAATATCATAGCTAAATGACAAATACGTCCAAAATAAAAAACAATACGGGAACCATTATCTCTTGCGCCTGTTTCCATCGGGATAATAATACAGGAGGGACGAAGACTCACATTGGCGAGATGTTGTACACTGAATAAGATTAATTCTTCACACTTGGCTGCTATAAAGTAGGTTCTATGACTATTTCCAACTATTATTTGATATTTGATACTTAAAGGCCATTCTTTACTCTTAATAAGGCAAATGCCTATTAGATCCACGTGCATTTCTGAATTCAAATTCATTAATTCTGTGTTTTTGTGTAGCCTAGTTGACACACACACACACACACACACACACACACACACACATATATATATATATATATATATATATATATATATATATATGCCACATTTTCCTGGTTAAATAAATAACACATAAAAAAGAACAAATACAATTCTATTTTGTATTTTATTCATATTATTTTGTATTTTATATAATATTTTAATACTAATTATACATTTCATAGTGTTTTTATGCAGTTTTATATTTATTACAAAATAATAACCAAAGGCAGTAACAATTTGAACAATATTTCTGAAACATTTTACAATAAGATTTCATTAGTTAACATTAGTTAACTACTTTAGTTAACATTAACCAAGAATAAACAATAGCCTACTTCTACAGCATTTATTAATCTTAGTTAATATTAATTTTAACATTTACTAATGCATTATTAAAATCAAAAGTTGTGTTTGTTAACATTAGTTTATGCACTGTGAACTAACAATGAACAACTGTATTTGTATTAACTAATGTAAACAAAGATTAATAAATACTGTAATAAATGTTCATTGTTTGTTCATGTTAGTTAACACATTAAATGACACCTTATTGTAAAATGTTACCAATATTTTTTTATTTGTGAACTGATGTTCAACTTTTTTTTTTAATAGTCAACTTATTTTCGGGTCATCATCATAAAAGCTCTGTAAACACTGCCACAGACACGAAGATATATATTTCATTTCATCATGCTGAACGCTCACTAAAAACTGACGCAGTCATCATGTTTTCAGACCATTTCAAGTATTATTTTGACGTGACAAAGTAGTGGTATCTAAACAGGAGAGTTGTTTACTTACTTTATAATTAGTCAATAATGCCATCATTTTCTTCATTCAGGCGAGAGCTCGCATGAAAACAAGAGGCGGGATTTATCACACAAACCAATCACATTCAATCATAACCGATCATTGCCTCCTCTCACGTGACTTTCCCCCATTCATCTCAATGAGCCTCCAGAAAAGTCACGGCATGCTTTGCGGTCTCTGCTGAAAGTCTATGGACTGAAGGGAGTCAAGCCTCCGCTTTAACTTTACCTGCGGGTGTCGCTGTTTGACAGTGTTACTTTATAAAAACGAGTGACTTTTATACTTTTAATGCCATATTTAGTAATATTCGCGATTTATGTTTGTAATATGGATTATTTTTTCATCCAATTGTTTTGAGGAGACACTGCCCTCCTTGGAATATTTAAAAGTTAAATTTATTTTGTAATATGCAAGTTCATGACAATTATTTTTGAAAAGAGTGTCAATATATTACAATTGTTTTCTGTCTACATGATCTATTTACATACTTTTCTGTATTACAAAGTTCATGGCAGTGTTATTTTAGTATCATATTATTATAGTTTTTATATTTACAATTAGGCTGTATTTTCATAGGCTATTTTCTGTTTTTTTTTCCATTTTATTTTTAGTTAAAGTTTTATTAATTTTGTGTGTATTTTGTCAGTTTCATTATTTTTTTATGTCTATATAGTTTTTATTAGTATATAGTATATAGTATATATTTATATTTTACTTCAGTACAAGTTTATTTTATTTCAAGTTATGAACATTTTATTATGGTTTTAGTTAACTGTAATAAACTAGGTTCATGATGAGGGCATTTTGAGTCTGTAACTTTTAATGTCAAATTCTGCTTCTTCAGATGACATCAGGAAACAATTATTAAATGAATAGAACAAGATGGAGCCACAAGCCAAACGAAGGAAAGAAATGGACAAATATGACACTTGGGATGTTCTTCCAGTTCTCTCTGATGAACAGTCCCGGGACACTGAATTGTTGCCGGCCTACGCAGCACCCATCATCGAGAAAAGACAAACTTCTCGCCTGGTCAAAGAGCTTTCCCTGATCTACCCTTTACCTGGTCTGCAGCACATAAAAAGAGTGAGGGCTTGCAAAGACAAAAGCACTCCTCACCCTTTAGAGGTCATTGTGTGCTTGGCCAGAGATGTGCAGGTGATAGACCGCAAAGGAGTTACGCTTACTGATCTGCTCCGCTCACAGTCTTTTGACTCCAGTGGTTTGGGAGAACCTTTCCTTGTCAAAATACCCGCTAATCCTCCACTAACTAGACCGCAGTTTGAAAAAGCTAGTAAACACTGGCCTACATCATTTCACGAGGACAAACAAGTGACGTCTGCTCTGAGGGGCCAGTTATTCACTGCCGATCAGAAAGCTAAAATGCAAGAGTACATGGCAGCAGCTGTAGAGGCTGCAAAATCAGGTGGGGAGATGGGAATGGATGCAGTGGGTGCTGTGATTGTGGACCCAGAATCTGAGCAGATTGTTGCAGTGGGTCATGACTGTAAGCGTGGCTCTCATCCACTCCATCATGCTGTCATGGTCTGTATTGATCTTGTGGCCTGTGGGCAAGGAGGAGGCACCTACAATTATGAGAAATATCCAGCCTGTCGGTTTAGCAGCTCTGAGTCCTTTAGGAATGCCTGCTAT